GTATGACATTCGCCCTCCAATGAAAGTGGTTACTGCTACTGGAGAGGAGTGTTATACATCCGTGTTGTGTAAAGATGTTGAGTTCAAATATGAAGGCCGAGATTACGTGCTGGATTTTATTTGTTTACCTATGATCAGCCTTCAAGTTATCTTGGGTATGGACTGGTTGTCAAAGAACTGTGCTATGATAGACTGCTGCGGTAAAAGGATTGTGCTTGATGCTGATGATTCTGCTACTAGTTCTTCCCCATATCTATCTGTGTTGCAGGTTAGAAAGGCTTTGAGGGCCGGGGCATTGGGATATGTCTTTGTGGGGGGTTTAGTAGGCGGAAGTCATGAGGAGATTGGCACTATTTCCGTGGTGAGGGAGTTTGTGGATGTGTTTCCAGATGAAATTCCACAACTTCCGCCTCATAGAGAGATTGAGTTCACGATTGATCTATTGCCTGGTGTGGGGCCTATCTCTCTGGCTCCGTATAGGATGTCACCACCGGAATTAGCCGAGTTAAAGAAGCATATTGAAGAGCTTTCGGCTAAGCAGTTTATCCGGCCAAGTGTGTCCCCGTGGGGAGCACCAGTCATATTTGTTAAGAAGAAGGACGGTAGCATGAGATTGTGCACTGATTACCGTCAGTTGAATAAGGTTACCATTAAGAACAAGTATCCTCTCCCTCGCATAGATGATTTGCTTGATCAGTTGAGGGGTGCTTGTGTGTTCTCAAAGATTGATTTGAGGTCGGGTTATCATCAAATCCGAATTAGGCAGGAAGATATTCCGAAGACTGCCTTCCGATCTAGATATGGACATTATGAGTATCAAGTAATTCCATTTGGACTCACTAATGCTCCTGCGGTGTTTATGGATTACATGAATCGCATATTTAAGCCGTTTCTGGATCAATTCGTGATTGTGTTTATTGATGATATCCTGATATATTCCAAGAGTAAGGAAGAGCATGAAGGTCACTTGAGAACTGTGTTGCAAATTCTCAGAGAGAAACAATTATATGCAAAGCCTTCTAAATGTGAATTTTGGCTTTCTCAAGTGCAATTTCTGGGTCACGTTATCTCTGCTGATGGAGTAGCGGTTGATCCTAGCAAGATAGAGGCAGTTGTTGATTGGGAAAGACCCAAGACAGTAACAGAAATAAGAAGTTTTCTGGGTTTGGCTGGTTATTACCGGAGATTCATTAAAGAATTTTCAGCCATGGTGTTGCCATTGACCCGTTTGACCCGGAAGGATACTCCATTCGTTTGGACACAAGAATGTGAAGAATGCTTTCAGAGCCTTAAGGAGAAACTAACGACCGCTCCGGTGTTAGTACTTCCCGACCCGGAGGGTGAATTTGAGCTATACAGCGATGCTTCCAAGAAGGGATTGGGATGTGTACTGATGCAAGATAGGCGAGTGGTAGAAATCTTTCCATGTAAAATTTGTGGCTTTGAAATCACGAGCATTGAGAATGAACTGATGACCAGAATCAAAGAAGCCCAGCTGCAAAATGAAAGTGCTAGACGACTAAAAGGTCAGAGTGGTGTATCCTGCAATGATGAGGGTATACTATTATATCAGGGTCGTGTAGTTGTACCTAGGCAGTTGGCGGAAGAAGTGATGACAGAGGCTCATAAGGGTCATTTTACAGTTCATCCGGGAGCTACAAAGATGTATCAGGACCTAAAGATGAATTTCTGGTGGCCTGGTATGAAGAAAGATATTGCCGAATTTGTCTCTAAGTGTCTCATTTGTCAGAAGGTAAAGATTGAGCATCAAAAGCCTTCTGGTATGTTGCAACCTCTGGATGTTCCTGAATGGAAATGGGAGAGTATCTCCATGGATTTCGTAGTGGGATTGCCGCGAACACAGGCTAGTTATGATTCTATATGGGTGATTGTGGATAGGTTGACAAAATCCGCACACTTTTTGCCAGTTCGGGTAGATTTCTCTGCGGAGAGATTGGCTAGGCTCTATGTGAAGGAGATTGTGAGGCTTCATGGGGTGCCTGAGAGCATTGTTAGTGATCGGGACCCGAAGTTCACTTCTCGCTTCTGGGGAGCATTGCAGGAGGCTCTTGGCACTCAGTTGAGACTGAGCACTGCTTATCACCCACAGACGGATGGTCAGACTGAGAGGACCATTCAGACGTTGGAGGATATGCTGAGGGCTTGCACCCTGGAGCAGGGTACTGTATGGGATCGATATCTCCCACTGGTTGAGTTTTCATATAATAATAGTTTCCATGCTAGTCTGGGTATGGCTCCCTACGAGGCCTTGTATGGTCGCAGGTGTAGGACACCTACTTGTTGGTCAGAGGTTGGAGACACAGAGCGGTTTGGATTGGATTTTGTTCAGGAGACTACTGAGCAGATCAAAATGATTAGGGATCGTCTGAAAAAGGCTCAGGATCGTCAGAAAAGTTATTATGATCTCAAGCACCGGCCTCTAGAGTTTGAGGAGGGAGATCATGTGTTCCTGAAGCTGTCACCGGTTACGGGTGTGGGACGAGCCCTTGGAGTGAGGAAGCTGAGTCCGAGATTTATTGGACCCTACCAGATTCTCCGTAGGGTGGGACCGGTTGCCTACCAGCTTGCCTTACCTCCGCAATTGGCAAATTTGCATGATGTGTTTCATGTTTCTCAGCTGAGGAAATATGTAGCTGATCCTTCTCATGTGGTTCAACCTGATAATGTTGAGATCCGGGAGAATTTGAAGACTCCTATTGGACCACTGAAGATACTCGAAAGAGATGAGAAGAAGCTGAGAAATAAATCTATCCCTATGGTGAAAGTCCAATGGGAAGGTAGGACGCCTGAAGAGTCCACTTGGGAGCGGGAAGATGAGCTTCTCCGGCAATATCCTGAGTTTAAGGACAGGTACGTTCTTGATTTTGCGGACAAAATCGCTAAAAGGTGGGGTGACTATAATAGCCCATATTAATTAATTAGGAAATCAAGTGTAATTAATTAATTAAACATGTTTTACTGGGTGAAATTAAGTATGAGGCTTAATAAAATGAATCTGAGTCACTTTGGAGTTAAAAAGTGTACTCAGTGAAAATTAAGGGGTATAAATGGGTACTGTCAAAAGTACCCAAAATATAAAAATAAAAATAGTAATATTCCTAGAATAATATTCCAGACTTTTGGGTAAAGTTTGGTAATTATTGGAGTTAAATAGATAGACGAACCAATACCCGCTTAGAGCCACTTAACCTATGTTAAGTGACTTAAGTCACCAAATGCCCCCATTTTTCCCAGAAGCCCGTCGAGAAACAGAAAAGAAGGAGAAGAGAAGAGAGGGAGAAGAGAGGGAAGAAGAAAAGGGAAAGAGAGAGAGAGAGATCAAACCTTGATGGTTTTGGATGATTCAAAAGCCTAAATCGCTTAGAATCTCGCCCTCTTTCATAATCCAAGCTTTGTTTTGAGTGGGGAACCTTGTGGAGAGGGATATTGGCTCTCAAAAATTCGGCCATTGGTGAGGTTTTGGAGTTTTGGTGGCTTCTACCTCCATGGGAGCTTGAGGAACACTCCCATCATTGTTGTGCAACCATTGGTGGTAAGATTCTAACCCTTGAACCTCATGATTCCTTGAAATTTGCATGAGTTAGGGTTTGTGAATAGTAAATTGGGATTTTCATGAAATGTAGTTGAATTAGCTATGTTCTAGGAAGAATGGAGCTTAGAGCATGTTATGGAAAATGCTAGGAATGTCATTTAATCGGTGGAAATGAGCCTAGATAGTCATTTGATAATTGTTCATAATATTGGAAAATTCATGCTTGGATTGGTTAATATTCTAGCATGTTGAACAATTAGTGAGTTGAATGATCGATTGGGTCCTTGTGATGTCTAGGATTGAGACATTTGGACCAACCGTGAGTGATCAACCATTGGAGCAAGCTATGGAGCTTGAATAGCTCATTGGAATTGGTAAGCTCATACTTGGGTTGTGCTTTGAATTGAGTAATTGATGGTTGATTGTGAAATACTCTTGGATGCAATGTGTTGATTGCATTACACCATGTGTAGGTGTATGTTTGTAAAAGTTGATTGCTGAAACTGTTGGTGAAGAACAAAGGTTGACTGAAGCATTGAGGTAAGCCTTCGGACCTTGGGTGTAATTCCCTTGACTGTTCTACCAAGCCCTGAAAGGGTGGAGGTTGTGATTGTGTATATAAATGCAATAAAATAGTGTAATGCTTTGTTATACGTATGTGTATGCATTTGGTGTGGCATAGGATGGTGTTTCCCTATGTTGGTATGTGGCATGACGATGCGTAAATCATACTTGGTAGTTAGCTGGCCAGTAGGACTATTTGCATCTGAGTTTCCTTAGGACAGCTTGAGAGCTCGAGGGATTTCTCCTGGAGATGTATTGCACTTTGCATGGATATGTATTTACTGCATTATTATTGTTATTGCTATTACACTGATATGGAACTGTGGGGTGGAGAGATGCTCCAAGGACCCCTGGTTTACTGGATATATTCGTATATCTCACCCCGTGTTGTGGGGACCCCCTTTCAGGTAAGGATGCTGCAGGAGCCTCAGGTGGCAAGTGGCCATATCTGGATTATGCATGAAATATGGCATTTCTTTGAGTTTATGCATGCCTTTTGTAGTTGACATGTATAGGATTTTATTTTGAAAGCCCATGGTCATTTGTATGTCTTGATTCATTGGATGAACTTAGCCTATGCTCATGCCTTTGGTTACACCTTTTGTTGATGGGAGCCAAGGGAATGATCATGGTGTTTTGTAAGCTAAGTTCTATGATTTGTAAAGGATATGTAATGTGAATGATGCCTACTTGAAATTCAACATATGCATGCTTGTTATGTATTGAGTTGTTGAATTGGTTGGGCTGAAAATCAATTAGGTACCCTTTTGTTCAAACTGGTAAACGATGAGAAAACAAAGGTCATGCTGCCCAAATTCTAGCTAAATCTCATGAGGAGAGGTTGGATGAGGCTAGGATTTAGTTTTGGGGTATGGACAATTGGGGTTTGTAATGGGGATGCATTTTCCCCTAGGCTTGGACTTGAGAAATGTGGGGATTGGAATTCCCTGGCAGCGCGCTTAAGCGCCCAGGAGCGCGCCCAAGCGCCCTGCTGCCCCTGCGAGTGCCAATGCATTCTGCCTCCTCGCGCTGGAGCGCCCAAGTGGGGGCTTAAGCGCCCAGGATTGCGCGCTGGAGCGCCCTGGCGTGCGCTTAAGCGCCCCTTGCTGCAGAAAGTTGGGTGGCTTACTGCCCCCTCGTGTTTTAGCGCCCAGGGTGGGGCTTAAGCGCCCAGGGTTGCGCGCTTGAGCGCCCTGGTCCGCGCTTAAGCGCCCTTAGCCACTGTAGGAGGAAATGCTTCTGTCTCTGCGCGCTAAAACGTCCCAGTGGGAGCTTGAGCGCCCAGGCCAGCGCGCCTGAGCGCCCTGTTGCGCGCTTAAGCGCCCATCCACACTGGAAATGCCAATGCTTACTGCCTCCGTGTGCTTAAGCGCCCAGATGGAGGCTTTAGCGCCCGATAGCGCGCGCTTGAGCGCCCGGTAGCGCGCTGAAGCGCGCTGGGCCTGTGACCAACACTCTCTTGTGTTGCTTCAAATTGTCCTAACTTGGACTACAGTGCTCCGATTTGAGCACGGTTTGAAGCCACGGGTAGCTAATGAAGAAACCTACAATATAGTAGAAGTATTGAACTAAACAAGAAGTAAATTAATGGTTTAAAAATGGGAAATGAACATGATGTTAAGCTTAATTTATCTGTTTCCGCAAGGTAATATGGTTATGATCACGAAATTGGGTATTATAAGTTCGGTACGTTTTAAAATGAAAAATTTGACCGGATTTTAATTGAACCCAGGTGATTGTAACTGCGCTTAATATCATAATGCGATGTTAACAAACCGGTTCTAGAACGGGGTGTTACATCCAGGCTACTTTGTTTTTATTTTTGCCTACTCCCCACACTAGATTTATAACTTCTTTATAACAAAAAGAGAGAGTAATTGCCTCCATTGTCTTTCAGTTTGAATCATTCAATAAAAACCGCATCAGATGAAAATATGTATAGATGTAAAACACAATCTAGTTATCAATTGTAACACCAGATGTAAAAGTATATATTAATCCCAGGCATGAAAAACACAGTTTAGTTACCAATGAGAAGGAAGTACATACATCAATCAAAGGACTAAACAACTTCATATATACAAGTAATCGAATGAGAAGGAAATATTACAAAACTCAAAGAACTACACAACCTCATACTGTAATTTGAGCCACTGAAACAATGATATCATCTTTCTTTCCACCTACGTGATTACGTCCTTCCCTCTGAGAAGCATCTTGAGAAGGGGTTCAAAAATCTTTGGACTTGGAAAAAGACAGAGCAACGTCTGCTATATGCTCAGCCAAATCATTGACTCCAAATACTTCTTTTTTCCACCTCAGAACTTCTTCAATATCATCAACATACAAATTATCAAAAAGGCCATCACTACCTAACACTAGAATATCCCCCGCCTCTACCAAAATCTGATACTCAGTTGCAGAGTCAGGGCGATCACTAATCTCACTGTTGCCCAACTGAAACGGTGTGTTGAAAGAGTGTTGTTGAATGGGTGATTGAAACAAAAGCCTATTATTTCTAAACAGCATTAAACCACTATCACCCACATTAACTCCATGCAACACCCCTTTCTTCAGAGTAACAATAGAGGCAGTAGACGACCCCCTTGCTTTGGTATTCAAGAAAGCATCATTCGACACTTTTCTTGGATCAATGTAATGTCCCACATCGGTTGGAGAGGGGAACGAAGCATGCCTTATAAGGGTGTGGATACCTCTTCTAGTGTGAGGCCTTTTGTGGGGTGTCCCAAGAAACAAAACCGTGAGCTCGACGGTGCTTGTGCGCGGGGCAAAGCGGACAATATCATGCTACAGGGTTTAGGGCTGTTACATATGGTATCAGAGCCTGGCCCTGGACCGGTGTGTACAGCGGGGACGCTGTATTCCCAGTGGGGGAGGATGTAATGTCCCATATCGGTTGGAGAGGGGAACGAAGCATGCCTTATAAGGGTGTGGATACCTCTTCTAGTGTGAGGCCTTTTGTGGGGTGTCCCAAGAAACAAAACCGTGAGCTCGACGGTGCTTGTGCGCGGGGCAAAACGGACAACATCATGCTACAGGGTTTGGGGCTGTTACAATCAACAAAGCCTTTTGATTCATGTTGAACAACATTCATAGCCTCTTTCATGAGCTCTCTGGCATATTCACCAGCATCGATTCCTTTCTTGGCCCAACCACCGACCCCATCAGCCACACCCATAGTTTGTTGTTCCTCACAAACGAAGAATGCATCTTCTCCCATTGGTTTCTTTGGGTTATCCTTTGGGTAGTAGAAGCTACCCGCAACCATCTTCAACACCTTCAACCATTTCTTTGGCTTTTCTTCATCACCACAGTATTTAGCACGAAAACGCTTCTTGATGATCATCGTGGAAGGTTTCAAAGAAAAGAAAAGACGGCGCAGAGACAGAAAAAAAGAAAGAAGTGTGGCAACGTTGAATCCTGATGACAGGGGATTAGGTTGTGTGTGGGTTTGATAAAAAGAGATATGTAATTTGTGTTATAACAAGGGTTTGATTCGACTGAGAGAGAGAAGCAAAAACATTCAAAGAAAAGAAAAGACGGCGCAAAGAAAGAAAGAAAGAAGTGTGGCAACGTTGAATCCTAATGACAGGGTATTAGGTTGTGTGTGGGTTTTATAAAAGAGATATGTAATTAGTGTTATAACAAGGGTTTGATTCGACCGAGAGAGAGAAGCAAAAGCATTCAAACAACCCTAACTGACTCAACGGCTAGAATTTTCCCGCTTTACGTACACTGTCTTCGCGCTTTACTTACAACGGCCATAATTATTATTAATGTTATGTTTACTCAACGGTCAAAATCTTTTAAGAGTTATTTATTTTTATTTTTTTAAGTAGCTGGGGGAATTGAATTCAAAAGTAAAAATTTTAGATATCAAGGTTCAGTTTTATATATGACAAAGACCGAATGAACACAACTGTATTATGGAAGTTTCAGCCGACAGCAACTTACCCTATCTTCTAGACCATCTAAAAACTGCACATAAAAATTTGGACTTTATTTTTTTATTAATCTTCTTACCCAATAAATGGAATATAAGTTTGAACCTTTTGTTAGATTAAGTCTCCAGGCACATAGATCACATCCCTTTATTACTTATCTACATACTACTTCATATTGTTCTAAGCCAGCGCCAAATTAGATTTAAGTTCATCTAACACTGCACTTTTTTAGTCATCAACTGATTAACTTTTATGGATAAATCTCCTATACACTAGAGTAGTATTGAAGGGCATCTTTCATATGAGGCCTTAAAAGGAGACATTTTAGTGGAGCATTAGCATTTTACTAACTAAAATTTAAGCTAGAACCTATAAAGCATCTCAACTATGTCTCAAGGCATGGGTTGACAACTTGTGTTCTGTCTGAAACTGTTAGAAGGAAACCTGAGTCTCACAGAATCTTTAAAAAAAAGTCAGCAACAAAAGGGTATAAAATGAAGGCCGCAAAAGACCAGTAAGAGATAAAACTTGGTACTTCTTCCTTTGGGGCAGGCAGCAAAGTCATTTTTAAATCACCCTTCATTCCCTCATAATAAATACTAAATGCCAGCAAAGTCATTTCAACAGCTTTCAAGTGTATATAAAAGAGTCGGAGCAAAGAGAATGGCCATTGCATATGGTCATGGTTTTGTCCTTTTGTATTTATATGCAATCCACACATGTATAGAGAATAAATTGAAGTCATAAGGTAATTGGAGTTCAACAAAAATCACAAAAGCAGTTATCTTGTTTTTAACTTAACACATTCAAGCAAAGTAGTATATAATATAGCAAACATCACAAGATTATATCTTTCAAACGCCCTATGAACACCCAATTGAAATATAACATTAGCTCTTGGACTTGCTGGTCACCATCACCCGATTTTGTTAATCCTACCCTTTATGTAAGCAATAACTTCATCTAAGGTGGCTTTACGTCCACTTCTGAAGTTCCAAAGCTCAGGTATCACAGATCTCCCATTCGGATTGGGAGTGGTCTTGGCACAGCTTGAACTATTATATTCATTCAACTCCTTCAAAGCTGTCAACACAGCCATATATGCCTCCTCTCCCAAGTCTTCCTTTAAAGTTGACAATTTCTGGTCATCTTCATCAATTACTTCCTATATAAAGAGACATCAAATTGAGTAAACATTACATTAAATTATCTTGAGTTCATCTGTCAGCTTTATATGTAGACAAACAACAGGCCAGGAAGTAATTGTGATGTTGAAGCTCATCAAACATAAAAGCTGGCATTCAATTGTCTGTATTGAATCAATTTCAGATTACATATAATTGCATGATGATTATGTCTGTATTGTTGTGACAAACTTTTAATTTTGAGGTAAACTGAAATTTATCCATAATTATGAGTTCCGGAAAAAGGAGTCTTAAGTCTGTAAAAAAGGATATTTCAACAACATATTTGAACAAACTCTTCCAAGATCAGAGCTTTTTTATACCAAAATGTAAAGCTCTTTCTAAGTGTAGGGAGAAAACAGAGATGGATGAGCATTTATAAAGATATACCTGCTTTCCCTCCCCTTCAACATCAATAATCCTGAAAGGGTGCCATGTTGAGTCCAGAATCTGCTCCCATCACATTCATACACCTTAAAACCTTCAGTTGCCGTTCTAGTTCAGAAATCTCTAACTTGAACTTATGTTCATCGTCTAGCTCTTTCTCAAGCTTCAATAGTTTATTCATTTGAGCCTTTATATTGTTCAAACCTTTTTAGCCAAAGCTCACTATCATTGTTTTCGGATTCATGATTTGACTTCCCTAATATGTTGGCCACAATCCCTTTCCAAGGCCAAACAAACATTTGATCTTGTTTAGGTTGCTCGTTGCTGATATCTTCCTTCAAGTATTTTGCCTTTATTTTTTGCTTCTTTTGGATGAGCCAATGCCTATTCCTGAGGCATGTTGACGAAGTTCTCCAAACTGAAATGACTGCTATTTTTTTTGCCTTCACAAAAAGGGCATCTGAAAGTGGAATTTGGATTCTTGATCTTCTTGTATTTCACTGCTTTGAGTTGATTATATGACTTCTCTAAGTAGTCATCCTTATCACGCTCGCTGATGTCTGATTCTTCTGAACTGCTACCCATTGAAGCTGACAAGTTTGAAAGAAAAAAAATCAATCAATCTATGAGAACAATTCAATCCTTGACAATTAAGAGTGAATCAGCGAATGGAAATCGATAAAATGAACAACACAGAGAAGAAAGTTAAGGGATTTCTTTATGAATGAACATGAATATCAATGGACAGATTCAAAAAATCCACTATGTATGTCATTGATATCTCAATTAATCATTACTTAATGACATGATGAGGTGGTGTTAACATCGAAGACTCATAACATAAATTCAGTTATAAAGATGGATCTATATGAAAAATATGTAGTGACACTTTCAATTCAATTTCCTTTATTTTTATCATTTATTATTAGTTACTTTAATTCCTAGTACTAATCAAGAGGCTGTTACTAACAAATAATCCAATCAAGGTAAGTTAAAAAGCAAACAACCTTCCCAATTTTGTAATTTATTTTTAACTTTGCAAAAAGCGTAATTTAATCTGACCTATTACATCGACTTATATATATATATATATGGGGGGGGGGGGGGGGTTGTGTGTGGGTGTGTGTGTGTTTTCATGGGGTAGGCTGAGAGCATTGTTAGTGATCGGGACCCGAAGTTCACTTCTCGCTTCTGGGGAGCATTGCAGGAGGCTCTTGGCACTCAGTTGAGACTGAGCACTGCTTATCACCCACAGACGGATGGTCAGACTGAGAGGACCATTCAGACGTTGGAGGATATGCTGAGGGCTTGCACCCTGGAGCAGGGTACTGCATGGGATCGATATCTCCCGCTGGTTGAGTTTTCATATAATAATAGTTTTCATGCTAGTCTGGGTATGGCTCCCTACGAGGCCTTGTATGGTCGCAGGTGTAGGACACCTACTTGTTGGTCAGAGGTTGGAGACACAGAGCGGTTTGGATTGGATTTTGTTCAGGAGACTACTGAGCAGATCAAAATGATTAGGGATCGTCTGAAAAAGGCTTAGGATCGTCAGAAAAGTTACTATGATCTCAAGCATCGACCTCTAGAGTTTGAGGAGGGAGACCATGTATTCCTGAAACTGTCACCGGTTACGGGTGTTGGACGAGCCCTTGGAGTGAGGAAGCTGAGTCCGAGATTTATTGGACCCTACCAGATTCTTCGTAGGGTAGGACCGGTTGCCTACCAGCTTGCCTTACCTCCGCAGTTAGCAAATTTGCACGATGTATTCCATGTTTCTCAGATGAGGAGATATGTAGCTGATCCTTCTCATGTGGTTCAACCTGATAATGTTGAGATCCGGGAGAATTTGAAGACTCCTATTGGGCCACTGAAGATACTCGAAAGAGATGAGAAGAAGCTGAGAAATAGATCTATTCCTATGGTGAAAGTCCAATGGGAAGGAAGGACGCCTGAAGAGTCCACTTGGGAGCGGGAAGATGAGCTTCTCCGGCAGTATCCTGAGTTTAAGGACAGGTACGTTCTTGATTTTGCGGACAAAATCGGTAAAAGGTGGGGTGACTATAATAGCCCTAACCTAATTAATTAGCAAATTGCATGTAATTAAATAATTAAGCATGTTTTAGTAAGTAAAATTAAGTACAAGGCTTAATTAAATGAATCTGAGTCACTTTGGAGTTAAAAAGTGTACTCAGTGAAAAATAAGGGGTATAAATGGGTACTGACGAAAGTGCCCAAAATATAAAAATAAAATTATAAATATTCCTAGAATAATATTCCAGATTTTTGGGTAAAGTTTGATAATTAATGGAGTTGAATAGATAGACGAACCAATACCCGCTTAAAGTCACTTAACCTATGTTAAGTGACTTAGACACCAAAAAGAACCCAATTCCCTCCCCAAACCCGTCGACGCCAGAAAGAAGAAGAAGAAGAAGGAGAAGAAGAAGAAGAGGGAAAAGAGAGAGAGAAACCCTAGGGAGAGCAATCCTCCACCGATTGGAGTGATTCAAAAGCCTAAACCACTCTAAATCTTCCCTTCATCACTAATCCTAGCTTGGTTCTTAGTGGGGAGTGTTGTGTTGTGAGATATCATCCCCCAAAATTTTGACCCATTGATGATTGGGTGTCATGGAGGAGTCCATTGCTTGAAGTGATGCTTGGAACCTCTTCCTTGGGTGTTTTCTAGGTGAGTTCATGTCTTGATGCAATTCCTTCCATGAGTTTTATGGTGATGGCTATGTTAGGGTTTCATTGAGGAAGATGTATGCATGGTGGGGTAACTTAGAACTTGATTGAAGTTAAGTTCCTTTGTAAATGTTGCTAGTGAT